CAATTGAGCCAATAAGTTCTCGGCCACTTGTTTTTGGGAAGCATAGTAAATATTGCTGCTGCTGAGGAAGGCTAATAATTCCTTTTTGAGGGTAGCGATGTGAGATTTATTTTTTAATTTGAGGGCTTGCTGAACCCGGGAGGTGAAGTCAGTGATTTTTTTCTTGGCTTCCGCTTGGTAAATATTTTGTTTGATTTTAGTTTCGGTGGCTACTAGTTGGTCGGGGTCAGTAATTTCACCACTTTTCAATCTTTTTAATTCTTGTTGGTTTTCCGGGCTTAAGTCCTCAACTTTAATACCGTTGGCTTGGAGTTTTTGTTCGATTTTTGTTTTGGCTTCTTGGCGATATTTATGCGGGTCTGCGGTGGCCTTTTCTTTTTTTAAGTTATTGATTTGTGCTTGATTATCTTGAAAACCTTTTTCAGTTTCTTGTTTTTCTAACTTTTCTCAGGCTTGTTGTTGTTCTTCCTTAGTTCCGGCTTGAGCCTTTTTGAGATTTTCCTCTACTTCCTGAGCGACTTTTTTGTCATGGTGACGGGCTTGAATATCGGCTAAGATTCGATCTTGGAGATGAGTGATTTTTTGGAGATCAGTTAATTGATTGATTTGGGATTCCCAATTTTGGTATTGAGGACTTAATTCGTGGTTAGTTAAGGGAGATTCTTGACTAAGGGCAGTGGTAATTTGGGTGATGGCTTGGTCTCTTTTTTGGGCTAGTTCTTGTTGTTTGGCTTGTTCCTCGGCTTGCTGTTTAACTTTTTGATCTTGTTTCTTTTTTTCCTCGGTGGCCTTTTTTTCTCTTTCTTCTCGTTCTTTTTTTAAGCGTTCTTCTTCTTGTTGGGCGTTGGCTTGGGCGGCTGCTTCGGCTGGTTGACGTTCTTGGGCGGATTTGGATTTGGCAGAGACTAGATTTTTGATGTCTTTTTCGATTTGAGTGATTTGGTAGTTAGTGATGGCTTCTCGATTGGTTAAAGATTTTAACTGGTCTTGTCAGCCTTGGCGAGTGTTGTTTAGTTCGGTTTCGGTGATGTTTTGTTGATTGGCTTTTTGAATGATTTTTTTAATGACCGAGTCTTTGTAGGCGTTGAATTGGGTAATTATTCTTGAAATTAGTTCGATTTGTTGGTCTTTGAAGTCATTAATGCGATCCGGTCTCCAAATACATTTTCTGAGGTGGGTTTGATAGTATTTAGCAATTCGGTCGGGAGCCATTTCCTCGGGACTATTACAAAAACAATCGATTGGTCGACCATAAATATAACTTTCTCCTAAAAAGAGCATGGATTCGGCTAGGGTGGTGAAGTCGATATTGCCCTTTTGGATGGTGTTTTCGATGGCTTAGAGGGCAGATTTATAGGCCGAATAAGATTCATGACCTTTATTTTCAGCAAATTTGTCTTCTTCGTAACGCGAATAACTCTGATAAGTAAAAGTAACCACTGTGCAAGTTAATTCAACCTCAAAATTAAGTCGGAGTGTTCCATCGGGAAGAACTTCTGAATTTTGGATACCCGTTTTTTTCAATTTTAGTAACCAATGGTAATCTGAAATTGAAAGAGGAAGTTTACCATAATGATAATTTTCATTCGGAAATAAACTAGAATTACACGAATCGT